CAAGGCACCATCGCACGTATCACCTGTGGGTTTGTCACAGGCTGTCTGAGCTTAGGGTCTCCATTGGGCTCAAGCTTGACCTCTTTCTTGATCTCCTTCTTAACGGGCTCACTCTTGACTGGCTGGCGGTCAACCTGCTTCTCGGTGGGCTTGACCTCGCTCTGCGCTGGCTGGGCAGGCTGCTGGTCAACCTGTTTCTTGATGGGCTTGACCTCGCTCTTGACTGGCTGGCTAGGCTTGGTGGAGTTATCCTTGCTCTTGTCATGCTTGTCAGAGTCCGTCTTGATAGGCAAAGCGTCTACTTTCGCTCCTGGAGGCAAGGGGGACATCTGATTGAAAATATATGTTTCATTTGCAGAGCAACCATCCCATTTCATGATGCTTTCTTTTGCTTCCTTATTTCTTGTAAGAGTTTATGTCTATGAAATCAGCTAGCCTGACCCCGTGGAAAACTATGTTTTGGGTTCAGGTGAGTTCTCTTGTGGTATCCTGTGTGGTTTCAGTTTAACATACTCCAACCATCTTCAACCATACACAATCATGTCATATCTAAGCATTTCTAAGTTTTCTAAGGGGGTTAGACCTGTTGATTTTATAGTGAGAAGATGTGGGCAGTGTGTGTCCTGAGGGTTGTTCAGTCGCAGGATCTGCAGTTTTCGCTTTTGCCTGGAGTTTGGGTACAGAATCAGACAAATGCTAAAATATTCTACAATATTTCACACGCCACGTGCTTCCACAAAAGCAAAGCAAATGATGACACGTAAAAAACACACAAGAATAAATATATCAATTCTGTCTTCTTTCAGGCAGCCCGCTCTTGAAGCTACGTGACGCTACCAAACTACCACTATTCTTGGTAGCAAAGCTGAAAAGAGCTAGGCTCCTTACAACCTATTGGATCAGACCCTGACAACCCCGGTCTGGTGCCGAGACAAAATAAACACTCAACAGGTGAAAACAACCCAGCCAACCGTCGATTATAGGCAAGGCAGGGGTAAAATCACACGCACCGAAAAGAAACATCGTCACACAGCATCTTGGCGCTGCTACCATCAGCTTGGATCCCTCTTCCGGAAACTTCCTGGGTGGACAGGACATGGATGAGTTGCGAGGTTTCAAATGATGCAACAAACAAACGATCAACAAAACAAAAGCAAAACATACAAAAGCAATCAAACACACTCAAAACATTCAAGCAGAAAAAACAGAAGCAAGCATCAATTCTTCCAAGCCTTTAACATGGCCAAACAGAAGTGTCCAGTATATGCCGCAGACGTTGCTAAGCTTTTGCCACCTGACCATCCACCACCAGCGTGCTTGATGTAGTACTCCTGCCATTTGCAGAAACTATTAGAACATTTATATAATACTATATAATATGTCACAATCAACATGTCACAACAGCACGTGGAGCTCTACCCTCTCCAGTACCCTCTCCTTAGGATTCTTTCGCTTTTGTTGTCTCTTCTCAAATCGATCCTGACCAAGATGTGAGAAGCATGTTAAGATACGTACATGAAAAAAGAAAGCAAATGAGCACAACATGACACAGTCCTGAATTACTTTCTTTTTCTTCTGCGTCATTTGGCGAGCGAGTCCCAAAGCTGCCCTGATCAGATGTTGAGCTTTTCCAAATAAAACATTTAGAGCACTATAGAGCGCACACCAACAACAGCAGTCCTCCACGTGACCAGAAGATGTGAACACTTGAGCAGGTCGTGGTTGTACATTCCCATCCAGGTGGTGATTTTCTGCCTCCACATTCACAGGACTTTCACACGTATTGTAAAAATTCATAAAAATTCTAGTGTTTCAGGAATTCACATTACATCACATTACATATCAAGGCACATGCCCCACTGCTCGACGACAGCTTGCATACACGGAAGCTTGAAGCCCCATGAGCTGGATGGTTGTTCAATGATGAACCGAAGGTCATCCCGAACCCTTCGCATAACTTGGAGGCAAATTGCCTTATATTCTGCATCTTTCAACGTCCAAAAAAGTTCAACTCGAAATGCCGCAAATAGAATTGAATCATTCCATTGTCTGTCAGGCAATGGCTACTGCTGCCAAATTGCCAGATTCACCCACAAACGGTTCGAGAGACGTACACAAAAATAACGAGTGTTCCCCATGAGGTTGCTCATGGAGCGTCCATGAACTGACTGTGAGGCTGCTACCATGAGTGAACAAGGCGGGCCAGCCACCACAATTCCATTTGGCACCAGCCTCAGCAGGCTCAGGACTTGTAGAAAAGCATTCAAGACATTGCAAGAACATATCAAAAAAATCTAGATTCTAGACCTGACGAGAAACTCGAGCAACCATTGAAGTAACAACAGCACACCTGTAAAAGTGGTCAGGTCGTGGGTCTTGTCAAGCTGAATATCAAATGATCTGGATGAATACCCAGCCCGGCGCCAACACTTCCTAGGCAAGAAAACGCACAGATCTATGTCGCTTTTTGTTACGAAGAGACACACGCAATCACCATATGAGTTCGTATATAAATGTTCATAATACTCAAATGTCGAGAGGCGCCACCCTCTGCGATGCCCCGAAGAGGTCTAGGCAGTCAAGAGAACGGACGCCTGGGCTAGAAGTCATTTGATTTTGCTTTATCTTTTGCGTTTTTCCGTGTTCTTTCAATTGATACCCAGGCACTCTCCCAAGCCATAAGCTCCATCAGCATGCTGAGGAAACGTACATGCGCTTCAGCCTTGAACCACCTGAGACCCAGATCATCCCAGATCCACCCACTATAAAATCACCAGGGCCACCTGGTTTCTGCCTATAAAAACGGTTGACAGTTGGTTCATGGTGGAGTGGCCTGGTTATCCACTGAACCTTGCACCCACTGGTTCGTGCTTGCGCGCCTACAGAAAACTATTCTATAGTTCTTTTCCAGGTGGGCCCCCATGATTTCATAGGAAATTACATTTCATACTTGCAAAAAACAGTACAAAACACATCAACACACGCTACAAAGTTTCTATGTATATCAGAATATAATAGAATATACATGAATATACTACTCTTTCAGCGCGATCCTAACTACCAAAAATTTCCCAACACCCAATTGTTCCATAGCAAGGCTCTGCGCTTCAGGGATTGAAGTCGCTGTGTCTTCTCCAACTTTTCCACTCACCATGGCTGAGGCCCGGCAATGTGTCCAGCAAGACCCGTTTTCTGTTTTCCTAATAGTAGTATGTTCCAGCCAACCGCCAGCGATCATCATGGACGTGCAGGGATTCATTTTGCAAACGTACATATTGCGCAGACAATTTCAAGTGACAAATGAACCGTACAAGAGCTCTCGCTATATGTCACCAGCACCCACGATGCCTCTTGAGCTTCTCGCCGTGATTTTGACAAACGTGAGATTTCGATGGTCCACAGCCATGTCTTCCTGACCAATACTGGATCGTATTGGAACTCAATCTCAGTTATTGAAATCTTTGTTCCTTAACGTTTTGAGACCACAGACGCCACATGATGCCTAGTTGGTCCAAGGCACAAATCTGGATCATAGTAGCTATAATGCCACGATGGTCGCCCGCAGTAGAGTGCGCATCTGCTAACTTGGCTGGTGCAAAGATATCACCTTTTTAAAAAATGTTCAATCACACTTCATATTTATTCCTAATATTTCCTAACATTGTTCATCATTGTTCACTTCATCTTCATTTGACCAGGTCACCCCAAAGCTGATGCTTATGGCTCCACGAGGGGTCGCTCATCTTCTCAATGCAATTTCGCACCCCCTCAGATGAACTCAGATGTAAACTGAAAGACTAAAATAAGATAAAACGCTTTCCAACAGCTTCAATTGTCTTTCCAAAATCCAGCTTCCTCATACTCGATAAAGTTTCTTGAAGAAAACTATCTAAGCTTCCAGAATGCTACCATAACTGCCATGATTTGTTATTCCATCTTCGGTTTCTTCTCCAGAATCATCCAAAATCTATACAGCACCACACATTTACAAGACAAGAGACACATGTCTTTGGGCATCCTTCTGGCTTCTCCGCTGGATCCATGATTGCACGTTGGACAGATTTGCCAAAAGGCAAGATCTCTGAGACTCTATGCTTGACGGATTGATTATATAAAACTTTGGTGTATCATGGTGTATCTATTTTCTGGCAGTTGCAAATATGGCATTGGATCAAGAAGATCTTTCCAAAATCTGTTGTTCTTGAGGCTCACTTTGATAAAGCCCAAATGCATCACATCACATTTCCAGATCAAAGCAAGATCAAGTATCAGAAACGCTACCAATTCACTATGAAATGAGGGAGCAACCCCTTGAGGGGTCTACTGTCTAAAACGTTTTAGGAGCATGTAGACCCCCCCCATTTCATAGTGGCTATTGCCACGGGGATCTTCTATAGTAGCTTGGAGGCCATTGCTTCTAGGTTGGAGGCCATCCCTACAATTTTTTGGCCATTGCTAGTAGGCTAGTAGGTTGGAGGCCATCGCTCTTAGGTTGGAGGCCATCGCTACTAGGTTGGAGGCCATCGCTCTTAGGTTGGAGGCCATCGCTCGTAGGTTTGAAGGCCATTGCTTTCTAGGTTGGAGGCCATGGCTAGTAGGTTGGAGGCCGTCGGTATTGGGTTGGAGGCCATTGCTTCTATAGTAGCTTGGAGGCCATTGCTTCTAGGAGGCCATCGCTCTTAGGTTGGAGGCCATCGCTCGTAGGTTGGAGG